TAGACCAGGCAAACAATTCAGCTTTTCCATCAGGCCCTTCAATGCAAAAATATATCAATAGTATGAGGATGCAATTCATGCAACATTACTTTAATCAATGAACTCTAAGTACTAGTAAGGGTGTAGGATCTGATACAACTTTGAACATAACAACACAAATTGTACTGATGACAAAAATGCATACCATTAAAAGAGTTGATGTACTGAACATCACTTCCAATTTTGCAGTCTTGTCAACTGCCTTGCTCGCATGTTCGATCGCATCCGTGCGCAGGGGTATCCTGCGTCTCAGTCCCGAAATGTGTTGTCCTATAATCAAAAACAATGAAGCGTTAATGTGACCAGACACCATCATAATGATTGCAATTCATTAAAATCCTTTATGTATTAGACAACTACATCTAGGACACTGTGGGCAGGGTGATGCTGCTGGTTTCACTTTAGTACAATTGAGCCTTAATAGGTTCTAGCTCAGTTTTAAGCCTTAGTAAAATGAAATACAAACCCATCCATGTCACTGAAACTAATCTGGGAAAAGAGGACAACATGGCTGAACACTGCCCCGGAAAAAAATAAACAGTAACATATTGTAAATACATTTAGCAAAACTCTCTACCTTACTTAAGGTTCCAGTGTGATAACAAATGTAAACACTACTTGGATGTCAATAAGATAGATGGATAGAAAGATTGATCCAAACAGGGAAATCACAGTAGAAGTACATTTAAATGTAAATATATGTATATATATTTAAATGGAACATATCAATACTGATAATAAAAATGCATATATGTATACAAATATATGAATTGCAGATGGATAATAACATAAATGATTAGAATATATTTTCTCTTACTATACTAACCATCTTACTAGACTCCTGGTACTAGGATGAGTTAAATGCAGAGGCCACATTTCACTGTGTGTGCTGTGTGCTCTGCATGTGTGACCATTAAAGAGGGTTTCATCCCTCCGATTCTATCTTTAAAAAATTGTAGTACAAATTACAAGCTATCTTGGGAGTCACAGTGGCATCTATAGTCTAACTGTTCATTAAATGTCTCCAAACCTTGTAAAAAATACTCTTTGAACATGATATATATAATATTACCTCTTACTAAGTAAGTCAGTTTGTCAAATGCTAGACTGCAAGTCATCTCTCTAATCCATTAACTAAAATAAGGATTCTGAATATCTACACAATTACACCTTTAGCTTGTACTGAGGTCTGATTTGGGTTTTTTGGCTTGGTTTTTCGATGTGATCTTTCGATGAGTCGTTGAACTTTGTGTTGGAGGGCAGTTATAGCTTCCTAAATAAAGATGTATATTGTGGCTTAGTCTGTGTCTCCATCTCTCCTAGGTGACTGAATTCATTTTCACAATGGTAAAGTTTTAAAGATGAGTTTAGAAATCAATATGTTTGCTGCTGGGTGACTTTATACCATTTATTGAGCAAAAATTAAAGCAAACTGGTTTTGTTTGATAGCTTAATAGCTCCAGAGTTTTTAAATGGGCTTCAAGTCATTAAAATGTCACTCAACAACTGTAGGATGAAATCAAGCCATCAAAGTAGCAAAAAGATAGATAAGGGCAGATTTGTTTTTGTAAAGGAGCTATTAATCAAGCAACATACAACTTAACATGGAATAAGTCACACTTTCATCTCATGTGACAAAGTTCCCCAACTATGAGGATGATTTTTTCCGGCAGGAAAATGCTCCATGCCACACAGCCAGGTCAATCAAGGTGTGGATGGAGGACTACCAGATCAAGATCAAAGTCAACTTTAATGTCAATCTTTCAGTTTGTGTGTACAGACAGAGAGATCGAAATAACTTTTCCAACAATCCTGAATACAAAAATACAATTATACAATATACAGATTTGAATACAAATATGTATAAAATATGTATATCCTATATACACAATCAACAGACACATTTACACATATGCACACATTAAGATCAAAAACAAAACAATCAATATATACAAAATAACAGTCACTTCAATATCAATATATTTGGTGCAAGATTGTCCATAGAATGTGCATTTATTGCAAGATTGTCCATAGCAGCGTAAAAAAAAAAAAATGTCGTGCTTGATTTGAGTGTCTGAGTGTGTGTGGGGAGTTATAGTCCAGTGGGAGCAGGGGGGAAGGGAGGGGAGGGAGGGAAGAGAGTTTAGCCTGGTGGAAAAAACTCTCGACTTCAGGCTGCGGAACCTCCTACTTGAAGACAGGAGGGTGAAGAGGCAGTTGGAGGGATGGGTGGGGTCACCAGCGATGCTGAGTGCTAGCGGGTGATGCTGTTGTGTCATCCGCAAACTTGATGAAGTGGTTTGAGCTGTGGGTGGATGTGCAGTTGTGGGTCAGCAGGGTGAAGAGAAGGGGGCTGAGCAAACACCCTTGGGGGACCCCCGTACTGAGTATGATGGAGCCTGATGTGTTGTTGCCGACCCCTAAAGATTGGGGCTGGCAGTGAGGAAGTCCAGCAGCCAATTGCAGAGAAAGGGGCTGAGGCCCAGGTTTGTTAGCTTGCAAACCAGCTGCTGGGGGATGATAGTGTTGAACGCTGAGCTAAAGTCTATGAACAGCATCCTAATATACGAGTTTATAGTGTCCAGGTGGGTGAGGGCTGGGTGGAGAGCAGAGGAGATTGCATCCTCAGTGGACCGCTTCGCTCGATATGCAAACTGAAACGGGTCCAGCGAGGGGGGGAGGTTAGATTTGCTTCATGACTAGCCGCTCAAAGCACTTCATGATGGTGGAAGTCAGCGCTACGGGGCTTCATTGAAACAGGAAGGTGATGACTTCTTCGGTACAGGTATCATGGTGGTTACCTTGAAGCATGAGGGAACAAAAGCCTGGCTCAGGGAGATGTTGAAGATGTCTGTGAGGACATCTGTGAGCTCAGCGGCACAGTCCTTTGGCACACGACCAGGAATGTTGTCAGGCCCAGAAGCTTTCTGGGTGTTAATCCTTAACAGTGTGCTCCTCACACTGCCTGGGGACAGACAGATAGCCTGGTCGTTGGGAGCAAAACGTAGCTGCTTGAATATCTGCACCTGGGTGGCAAAAAGTCATCTAACAGCATTCTGACAGACTGAAAAACGGATGCCAACATGCATGAAAGCTGTGATTGTAAATTAGGGTTATTCTACCAAATATATATAGAATTCCCAGCAAATGTCTGTATATATATATATATATAGTATCAACTTATTTTCTTTGAATTATGTTTATAGTTGCATCTGTTCATACATTACATCTTTAGTTACAGCACATGTCCATACTTTCTATGTATCTGTTTAAATATACATGCTCATACATCTATTTATATACATCTGTTAATAACACCTTCTCATACTTCAAAACATTACAGTACAAAGTATTCCATTTAATGTGCATATTGCAAAGAAAGAAAGCTTGAATAAAACTACGTTTGCCTATTATTCATTGTTGATAGTGATTAATAGTCTCTGCATTTAACATCAAATCAAAAGTTTAAAGTTTTTCTTTGGATTTAAATAAGGTGTGCTGCCCCTTTAAGGGAATAAGAGTGTTGGCTGTGCAGCACTGTTTGTCCATGTAGATTTGCTGTAGCTTCATTTAAATGGAAAAGTCTAAGAAGCAAATCAGCTTCCAAATCAGTGTTTCCCTTTTTTACTCTGTTGAACCTTCAATAACACATTGTTGTGAGTAATTGGTTATATTTGATTTAAATACTTACCTGGAATAGTTAGGAATAGAAAGCTGTAAAATAATCGCAATGCTAATCCAATTAGCTTGTCTGTGGATTTTTCAATGTTAAGTTAGCATTTTGCTAACTGTTAGCCTCTCTATGGCGTTTTCAATGTTAAGTTAGCTGTAGTATGTAATGCACTGTAATATCACAAATCTTTTTATATTTATGTCATTTACCTAATTAATTATTAATGATTAATTGCTTGTTATTGTGACAACACGAGTCAAACTCACCAAAATCATACATTTGTGTTTTTAATTCTGTATTTCATTAAAGACACTAAGCTAAGGAGCCAAGTGCTACCAGCTAATCAAACAGCTAGTCCCCTTGGAAGATGGCTGCTTTCACATGTGCAGTTCAGCCAAGTGTGTATGGAGAATGGAATGTGTGGGATGCTGTACCTGCTTTGGCCAGTAGAGGCCGATACTGAGTTACCTCCTGTTAGCACACTTATACACACTGAGTCAGTACAAGTGATTTTCGGGGACAACCCTGAAACCTTCACAGGGCATAGTTCTGACACACACACACACACACACACACACACACACACACACACACACACACACACACACACACACACACACACACACACACACACACACACACATCCAATGTCACTATTCCCATGACTGCCCCACCACCCACCCCCCTATCACACATGGTCGCACACACACACATTATCCATGAGCCATTTCACATAACTGAATCAAGCCGAGGGATGTGAGACTTCCTACTTGTTGTTAGTGAGTGTGTGTGTGTGTGTGTGTGTGTGTGTGTGTGTGTGTGTGTGTGTGTGTGTGTGTGTGTGTGTGTGTGTGTGTGTGTGTGTGTGTGTGAACCCCCTGATTCTATGTGAATGAGGCCATTAAAGTGCTGCTTTTCTTTCTGTTTTCTGTCATCCCTCTCAGACAAACCTGAATACCCCCCTACACAAACACACTTATTCACATTTACATGTACATAGACTCCTGCATTGACTAACATTTAGTTTATTGGATTTTATTCTACATGTATTTAGTTTCTGCCACATAATCTGCACAATTGTATTTCTGTTTCATTTAGCACTCCTATTATTGCTTTAAATTGGTTTAATTGTTTTATGTGTTATATATATTTATGTTGCATTGTTGGAAGAGCCTGGGACTTCAGATTTCCATTGCCATATCTACAGTGTAGCTACTGTGCTAATGACAATGAAGCCTTTGAATCTTAAATCTTTCATTTAACCAGGCTTTGTGTTATTCTCTTGCAGCGCGGAAAAGGGTTTGCTAGCTCCTTTCGTGTGGACATACCGGAGACCGCGTGACTTTGCACAATCACTCCCCGATGACTGAGGCTACAGTAAAAGTGTTCAACCCATTTCGCCCTCCTCGCCCTCGACCCTCCTCACCCTGCAGCGAACATTGAAAATCACACTCGACTTCACACAAAATGAGAAACCAACACCCTGCTGGAATTCCTAAGAGCAATGCCGGGCTTTGGAGCACCCTACTCCAGGGTTTAGGAGACGGTGGTCCATGGGGAGGGGGAGAGGTGCTGATAGCCTTACATGGAGGAGCCTAATGTCTCAGCGGGACTGAGAAACGGACAGAGGAGGAAGGACAGCGATGGCGGAGAGATAAAACTGGACTCTGATCTCTCCGTCCTTTTCCAATCTGCGTGTGCCTGTTTACAGCACTGATGTATACATCTATGAGGAAAATAGAACCACTCCAAGATGACATGTGTACTGACAGACTAATCAAAGGAGAGCCACTCAGAAAACCGCCACTGAGCCCTTTAGGCGTTTGTACTCAAAGAGTGACGCCAAATTGTACAGGAGAATCGTTGTGCATTTCAAAATGCAATACCACTGTTTTAGATTTTTCTATTCTGTTCGTGTGGTCAGGTGTCTCTATTCAGATGTACTTCAAACTTTGTAAGAAAAGATTGTGAGCAGTATATCTTTTGATTTGTGTTTCTTTTTTCTGTCCTTTTCACTTTTTGGCTTTGTTTTTTCCTTCACATTGTAGGCTTGGACAAAGTTCCTACACTTTTCTGATTCTGAGGCGTCAAGTAGTTTCTATCATGTGTGAGAAGTGTTTACTGTACTCTTTTAAAGTTTCAAGCTGAATATAAAACTCTATATATAATTCTCTCTATATCTTCTTGTTCTGAAGGCGTGCTATCCATTTGCTGGGTTCCACATTCTGGTTCAGGTCTGACTCTTCTTGTGTTTTACCGGAGGGGGGGGGGGGGGGGGGGGGGAGGTTGCAGAGACACAGAACAGCCTTAGCAGATGTAAGCTCAAGTTCTCATTGTTTGACTTGTTTCATTTCTGTTTTCCACTTTGGGATATTGATACAGATCATGTCTATAAATAAAAATGAGGTAATCATTTAGATTGAAAACCATGGTAATTTTGTGTCATTGTAACCAAAACGTTAAGAGTCAATTTATAAAGAAACACAACAAAAACAGGGCCAGATGCAAAAGTTATTGTACACAATTCAGTGGACTCGGGTATACACACACTTTTTTCTCACAAAAACACCAATATGCCAACAATAAACAGAAAAATTGTGAAAAGGACCGTCGTATGTGTTTTTATTTTGGTATTAGAGAAAGTCTGAGTTGACCTGGTTATTGGAATTCTATTTTCTTTTATTGTTCATGGGTCAACAGTCATGGCCTTATACCCCCGAACAAACGGGGGGTTTAAACCCAAAGCTTTAGATTCAGTGTCACAATTTGCTTTAAGTGAACTACTAATTACTTGGTAATTCCTCTGGGAAATGTAATTAGTGTACCAACAAGGACAGGTCATCAAAAGCTAAATGTATGCCACTCCTGCTTTAAAATGTAAAAAATTACACAGTAGTTCTCTGGACCACTGTAGGCACTCGAAAGAACATGAAGGGCAACAGAAACAATACATAATGCACATAATGCAGCTTGTGCTCTTGGCACATTACCAAATGTGTTTATAGGGATTTAAATGAGCTGCTAATCAATTTTCAGATAACATCAGTAGTAGAGGTGGAAGACGTATGCAGACATGTTAAGTTTCTCTCAATTGCTTGCACTGATTAACTCTCAATAACAATTAAATCTGTGCAGGAATAATAATAATACATTTTACAGGTGCTCAAAGCGCTTTACAATTACACATTACACATGTAAGAGTCATTATTGTGGACATTACCCAAGGACACAACGGCGGGTTTCGAACTAGTTCACTAACGCCCCTCGATCTGATGATCAACGCTCTAACCACTGCACCAAAACCGCGTACCGAATGAGTACAGTCGGTAGATATGAGGCATATTGTGCGCATGACAAACCACCGGGTGATGTTGCAGTGCTCTGCAGCGTTTACCTCTCCACAGAGACACACATATGGCAGACTTTTATTTATTACCGGCCCAGACAGTCTTTCGGGTTATGGCCGGCAAAGCTTTCAATGCTTTAAACCTTTAAACAAATTGATATTTTATTTGTAACCTTGCAGCAGGTTTTAGTTTTCCGTACAAGGTAGCATAAATACAAACTCTTAATTATCTCCATCAGGCACCAACGTGTATTGATTAAGCTAAGTGATGAAAGCCTTTCCGCAGATTAGTGTCAGCATGAAATGAGCACTTGTGATTACTTCCTCTAAAACATGACCCCAATGTGTTCCGATTTTAATTACAATTCAAGAAGAAAATAATCTTTGTTGTCCTTCACTGTCTCCTCTGTCCAGTGCACACAATCTGTAATCCACTCAGTCCTTTTTGCAGCAGCCGTGGAGATTTAGAGATGTTGTTGTTGTGTGTTTTTATCAGCCTGTAATCCGAGGTAGATTATGGTATCTACAGATGGTGATGAACCAATACCACATTGGAGTTCAGAAACACATGCTTAATCATCTGTAGACCTGTCTAATCTTCCAGTGCACACTGAATATTCATCGATTTGCTTGTCTGATAAAGCCTTTGACGGTTTCACACTATAAATATTACCAGCAAACAGAAAGGAAGGGGAGTAAAACGCATGTCTGTTCATAGAGAATCCCACTGTGATGTTAAATATAGGAAGTGAACAGTGGCAGGGTGAACTATGGGCCCTTTTGTTGCTGCGTAATGAGGCCACAGCTATCGGAGCAGCGCCGTTTAGATTGAGGACAAAAGTTGAGCGGAGAGCATGCATATAATCATATCTATTTTCCTGCTAAATGAAAGCTATTATATTTGACCTCCACTGGACACTAATCTCTTTCATAAACCAAAAAGTTTTAATTTCCACATGCATTTATGCACACCAGGATGGCTCCAAATGAGGAAAACCAATAGATTATAATGAAAAATTATTTAAGAACAAAAAAAGAGACTTACAATTCCCTAAACAAACAGGAGGATTTGGAGAGAGACGGACAGTAAAGGAGACCGTTTCTCTTTCTATTTCCGGTGAGTTGGGTAAGACAGAGTGTGGGGGGGGGGTGAATGTGATAGCGAGTTTCAAAGTCACTCACTTGACAAAGGCAAAGCGGATTATAGGAGGCTAAACTTTTTCATGTCGGAGCTCTCCTCTTTTGCAGATGCCGTCAGACACACAAAGAGTCATGGCGATGAATTCCCCTCGGTCAGTGTGGAGGGAAATAAAGCCTCAGGCGGGTGTCCATGGTCCGCATGAAGGTTGATTATGGGCTCCTCAGATGTGGATGAATGGGAGATGGACTTTGAACAAATCTCAAAGAAAAACAGGTCAGGATGGACACAGAGCAGCAAACTGTGATGCTGCTATAATGGCACATTCTGGAAAAATATAAGACTTTGGGAAATACAATATAAAGTTCCTCCTGAAATCCACTGTCATTGACTTACAAAAAATAAATGCAACACACACAGACACACACAAAAGATAAAAACTACAATCAATTACCATGGTTACACTATGTTTTATCAATTTTGCACATACATGATCAGGATGTGCAAAGGTGCAAAGAAAATGAGTGAAATGTCCGAATGAGGAGCAGAGAAAATGGAGAATGTACACATTATCATATGTATCAAATCACAAGGCAGTCAAACAGTGAGTTAGAAGACATCCCTGCAACAGAGCAGAATACGTTCTGAACATCCTGTCCGGCAGGGTCTCAGTCAGTAGGGGCTTGGACTGGGAGCCGTAGGGTCGCTGGTTCAAGTCCCCGAACAGACCGAAAAATGGAGCGTGGACTGGTACATGGAGTAAGGAACAATGCACCGGACAGAGATGATTGATTATCAGATTTGGTGCTGAAGACTTAATTGATGAGCGCCATGAGTGTGAGGAAGGCTGACCTTGCCCCCACCTGCTTTCTATTTTTTAAGTGTAGGGTAAATATATTCATTTTGAAATTGATTTCTTTGGATTATGTGTTATTTTCAAACATTTATCTAATAATTAATGTTAATTAATATTATTTAAAAATAATATTAAAGATAATATCAGTTCTCTTTTGTACTTGTACATGTTTATTACCTTTGCCGAATAAGTTAAAGTTAGTATTAAGCAAATAAAAAAACTTCCATAACTAGTAACACACACACACACACACACACACACACACACACACACACACACACACACACACACACACACACACACACACACACACACACACACACACACACACACACACACACACACACACACACACACACACACACACACACACACACACACACACACACACACACACACACACGTGTAATTTCCACTGGGAACAGGGGGGACCCCACTTTTCAAAATCCCGTTTGTCCCCCCCCCACTTTTCAAATGTGTTTATTATTTTAATTTTTTACGCAAACGGTCATGGTCATGGAGGAGCGTCTGTGTGTGTGTGGCACGAGCGCATCTTGTGAGAGAGAGAGAGACAAAGGGTGTTTCTCAATGTTGAGGAAGGCTCCTCCAGAGCCACTATTTCAAGGATGCTACATCATCGAGTCCCGCCAAAGGATTGTTTCAATTTCCAGGATCCTTGGAATTCTACCGAGGCCGGTGTCCTTCGTTGCGGGAAATTTTCGAGGCTGCACATGGTATCCTGGTCTTAAAATCCCCGCAATGCTTTGCGCATGGAACAATTTCCAAAACCTTTGGCGGAAATCGCGCTCCATTTAAGGCATATGACGCACACCTGCACACCTGTTAGCCTGTTCCACCAATCTTCGTTTTCCGAGGCTAGGAAGGATTCTTGCCTCACTTCTGAAGGACCTGACTCGGAGGGACATGTCCTACCAAGGAAGCGTCCTCGACATTGAGAAACACCCACTGACAAAGAGACTTACGGGGGTTGTTGTTAGCATCTGGTGCTAGCTGGGAGCTAACGGAGATTAGAAGCTGTTTCAACAATAAGGAGAGGGAGCTTCCTCTCCTGTCGGACTGAGAGGCTGAGATAACGTCAGCTCAGTGAGGTAAAGGACTCTCTGAGTGATTAGATTGTAAACTTTAGTCCAAGTTATCTCAGTGGGTCTCAAACGGTTTGGTCTTCTATGTAAACAAATATTTCCATCTATTTAAAATAGTTGTAAAAAATAAGTTAAAGGACACCTATCATGCTATATTTGAACAATATATTGTAGGGCCATACCTATATAAAGTATATAAATATAGTTTTTTTTTCAAAATACCAAAAATATCCTGCATTTTAGCCATGCCTCATTTCACTCTATTTGCTCTTTCCAGCGCTGTTTTTGCAGGGGGCTGATTCTGTGAGCTGCAGCTGACCACGCCCCCCTGCAGGAGAGGGGAGCGTGCTCTGAGATCAGCTGATAGGCTGCAGCGAGGAGAAAAAGAGGGGGAGAAAAAGAGATCTCCGTCCACCGTGAGAAGTAATGGGGCAGAAACCCTCCTTTTTACGCAGCGGTCCAGACATAGACATCAAACGGCGACACATATTCAGTTGGCAGTTACTTTGGCATTAGGGCAGGGATATCTAGATACTTTCCAAGGTTTGACATAATGAATTGTGCTACTTTTAAAGCAAGCAACGATGTTTTCAAATCTGTAATCAAAAAGCTCCTCAAAAACGCTATCGAAGCAGTTCCTGCCGTTGCTACGTTGGTTCAAACAGTAACAACGGATTATTTTTCTTAGCGGATGCATGTCAATTTAAATCAATACATACAACTATTTTTTAAATCAATAAAATCATTTTAGAAATCCATAAAAGCATTTCAATTAATATTGGGAGTCATGTCGTTACTTTGTCGAGAATGTGGTCATGTAATAAGCGGGATAATGTGCACATTGCATAATGTGCCTTCATGCCGATCTAGATCCCTCCGCTTCGCGCCGGGCTCCTGATCAGCCTGTCGGTGTTCTTTTCCCCATAATGACCGCGTCACTGCACATTATCCCTTACATATGATTATATAGAGTCATTATTCATTTGTTTTAAAGCAGGAGGCGCAAACGCTTGCCTCGGGGAGGGAGAAAAAGAGCCACAGCGGAGAATAAACAGAAGGGCAACCATGGCAACCATACAAGGTAAGTCTTCTTCGCTGCTTTTGTGGCAGACTACAGCGCCACTTACAGGCCTGGCATATGTACTACAGCGTCAGTAAAGTGTT